CAATTCAGCTGCCGACCAAGGAGTTGATGCATTTATTGAGTTTATTTTTTAAACTTCTTGCCCTGTTTATCTTTTTATCCACGTTATTTATTCATGCCATTTTCATTGCATTTATTCAGCGAGTTGTTTGCATTGCAAATTTTTAAAATGCCTTGATGATCTGAATTCGTTTGCAATTTTTTTTGAAATTTGTGTTGTAGTATTATAAACATTCGTACTAGTATTGAATATATTGGATAAGTTTACTATTTTCTTTTGCGATTTGTGCTGATTACCAAAACTTTTTCCAGAATTTATTATTTAACGTTTTTATACACGACCTTATTTTTAAATACTATAAAAATCGTTTGTAATAAGTTGTTTGGAAACGCTGGTGCTTTGGTGATGTAATACAAAAATTAATGCTAAAACAATACAAATCAAGTAGTTTAGTAAATATTAAGATAGTTTCTCAATATCTGAAGAAGGTAAGGAGGGTCGTAAGAGATTTTTGATAAAATTGATGTATACTATGTGTTTTTTTATATTATGTTATAATAATTTTAATAGCCTATTATTTTTATATCTAACTAAATTTTGATTACACTACCTATGCTCTTTATAAAAACTTGGTTCAAAAAACGCAATGTAACGCAATCTCTCAAAAATTATTTGAGTTTATAAATATAAATAAGTGGTTTAGTTTTCTAAAATTGTCCTATTTATTTTAAATAAATAGAAATTATTGTAAAAGTCTATATACTTAATTTTTTTTTAATTTCTGCAAAGCTCTCTAGCTAAACTAACTGATATACCTGGAATATTATTTTTACTCCAATGATTTTGCATATTTCATTCTTCTCAAAAATCGGTATAATTTTAGCGCACTTGCTTATGCTTGCCATACATTTTACAATAATTTATTAAACGCCATTTAAATACCATAAAAATGAAAAATAATCTGCAAGCAAGCAAATGGCAAATGCTCGGCCAACCAAAACCGGCAGCCAGTCAAACTTGCAATTCATGTTGGCGTAAACTTGTTAATGCCTTCAGGGCCAGTTTATAATGCACGCATAATGAATGCGTTCACAAACACCGCAACACCAGTCAACAAACATACATACCATAAATATTGGAAGCTTTTTGTGAGTGCGTGTATGTGTTTGTGCATACAAGAGTTGAGTTGAATGTTACTAGTGCAATCATATACACAATGGATTACACAAAGATACGTGAATCCTCGTCACACCATGCAGTTGAGCTGCAGTATGCATGCATATGCATCACATATGTACAATCATATGTATGTACCATATATAATATCAGCCAAGCAAATGAACGAGATAAGTTTGTGTAAGGTTGCAAGGTAGCCATGGCGTTGAGTAAATGCGTGTGCTTGAACAATTTTATTATTATGTTAAATGCTTTTGTGTAGTATAACAACATATATACATACATTGCTATGTATATTCAAGTGGATGGTAGCAAGAACAATATACAGTAGAGTATACCTTACGTTGATGACTACGACGATTTATGAAATTGAGTTATTGCACTTGAGGCAAATTAAATCTCATAAATATTTAAAATCAGAGATTAACTGCCAAAGATGCATTGCTATTGCAGATAGAAAACCGGGAGCTGTACATACTGCACTAACGGTATTCAGGGACCGGAAAGTTCACATGCGCGTTGGATCCAAAATGTGTCGTTTTGGCGTATAAGATTAAAAATTTGAATCATTGGTATTGGAATAAAGAATTTAATGATATATTCCTTACATTTTAGCTAAATATCTAACAGAGGTGAGAACTCCGTAAAATAAATAATATTACCTAATATTTAAATATATAATCTTATTATAATATTCTATATATTATAACTTGCCGCATTTAGGGACTTTTGTATAAAATATACACTGACACAGCTACATAAATAAAAAAAAAAATTGGAATTATTGAATCCGTTTTCACTCCGGAAAGCATAATAACTATTAAAGTATCGGAAATATTTATTTAAAGAAGATGTAAGTTAACCAAATACAGGTTGGTTAAAAAGTTTCTGCGTTCGAAATGAAAAAATACTGGTTTTGGTACGAAATATATATTTTTATTCAATATAATCTGCTTTAACTTCAATACATTTATTCCAAATATCCTCCAATAATTTTATGCCATTCCTATAATGATTTTCCGAAAGCTCTGCAAAATACCAGTCTACGGCTGTAATAGCTTTTTATTTAAGTCGTTGGGAGCCAAATCTGGTGAATACGGTGGATGCTTAAGCAAATCCTTTAATTTGTTGAACTTTGTCATTGTTAAAACATCTTTGTGAGCAGGTGCATTGTCTTGATGTAAAATTATTTTTTTGTGCAAAGCAGGTCTTTTCTCACGAATTTTTCATCCAGCTGATCCAAAATGCTGCAATAATGTTTAGAGTTTGCATTCCAAAGCACTGATGCTATGACCTTCTTTGCTGATCGTGGTGAGTTCACCTGCTTTGGAACGAAACAACCAGCTCTTCCCACTGTAAACGTTCTTGTTTTAACTTAGAATCATGGTGGTAAATCCAAGTCTCATCCATAGTTGTAAAACGACGCAAGAAATCGATTTAATCTGCTTCAAACGCTCCAAATTATTCTGAGAAATTTGTTTTCGATCCAGTTTTTGTTGAATTATTAAAGTGTGCGGCACTAATTTTCCAAACAGCTTTTTCATATGTAATTCGCCATGTAAATTATGAAGTGCTCGTTCGTCTGAGATGCCTATGGCATTAGCAAGTTCACGCTTAGTCAAACTTATATCTTCATAACCAATATTATGCACTTGTTCAATAATTTCTGGTGCGGTTGCTGTTTTTGTTCGTCCTTCGCGTAGATCGTGTTCAAGCCTAGTACGACCACGTTGAAATTCACCAGTGTAAAATTGAATGGTGCGTTTTGAAGATAAGAACTTCTTATACACTTCTAACAATTGTTCATAAATTTCCTTTGCTTTTAAATGTTCCTAAACAAAAAATCTAATCACTGGTCGATATTCTATTTTTTTCATATTAAAAAAAACTACTCTGACACGTCAACTATAAATGGCTGGCAAACAAAGAATTAATTGATTGAATGACTTGTAACTTTGCATGTGTTCTCACGACAGATGTACCAACTTGAGAAAAAACAAGTAAGGAAGTTCTAAGTTCAGGTGTAACCGAACATTTTATACTCTTGCAACTTGCAAGGATCAAAGCCAGGGAAATACATTCAGATGCATACGGTTTGTTAGAACAAAGAAAATCAAAATATGTAGTATATGATAGTTTGGGTAATTTGTGAACCAATTTCACATATTTTCGGCATTAAACTATAGTATATCCAATATTATACTTCCAGTAAATTTTGCTAAGGTATCTTACTTACTTACTGAAATATGCGGTATAAAGTCACCTGGAAGTTCGAAAATCTTTATATTAGGTATATGGGGGCTTAGGGAATATTCAACCCATTTTTGACATACTGCCATACTATTATCAGGAAAGGATCCTCTATGAACTTCAATTATATATTCGGTAAAAACTCAGCTATAGGTACTGTGGTTCACATATTTAGTACCTCGGGGCTTGAACAGTTTTAGTTCGCTTAAGCAAAAAGACTCACGTACCGAATTTGGTTGAAATCGGTTAAGCAGATCCCAAGATATGGGTTTTGACCTAAAAGTGGGCAGTGTCACCCCCACTGTCTAATTTTGATGCCGTTTACTTTAAAGCCATCTCATAATATCCCTGAGTTAAAATTTAATGACTTTGGCGTGTTTAGAGCTTGATTTATCGCGCTTTTAGTAGTTTTTAACAGTACCGTTATATGGGGAGTTGGCGGGGTTGTCACACATTTTCACATTGTAGATAGAGGTGCTAAAAACATTTGTTTTCAGTGAATTTTGTTATAGCGGTAGCTTTAGCGGCTTAGGAGCTATGCACATTAAACCTTTAAGTTGGCGGAACCACGCCACTTTTTAAAAAAAATTTAAACTGCAGATGCCCCTTCCTAATGTGATCCTGTATACCAAATATATGCACATTAAACCTTTTAGGAGGCAAGACCACGGAACTTTTTAAAAAAAATTTAAACTGCAAATGCCCCTTCCTAATGTGATCCTGTATACCAAATAACAGTCTTGTATCTTATTGTGGAGCTTAGTTATGCCAATTTTTTTGTTTTTGATAAATGGCGTGGCAGTGTATACCAATACCAACCTTTTTACGGTACCAAGAAACATGTGTACGAAGTGTAATATTCGAACCCAATTATAGCTTAATCAACACTAATGTATTGCTGTAAACCGACATTTTCGTTAGAGCTCAGTTGTCTAATTAGATTGAACTTTCTTTGAAATACATATCCTAAGTCCTCATACCTATGCACGTACCAATAAAATCGGTATATCAGAATTAATGTTCTAAATAGTTTTTATTATGTTATGTTACAATATGCATAAGTATGAACCGAAATATATTACTATTTTCCATAAATATATAGTACTAGAATACCCTGGCAACGCCGCATTTCCGCATTTTTTGCTGTCTATATAGCTCGATTATCGAACCAGTTATGATTTAAGTAATTACTTTTTGGGTCTTGGAAAATAGCCCAATTAAATAATTTTGTCCGTGTACAATAGTGCTGAAATTGTCTGGCAGTTTAGGGCATTTCGTATTTGGTTGCAGTTAGTCGTTTTGGAGTTTATAATATTATATATTGGAATACTTCTTTACATTATTAAATATTTTATTATATCATCATTACTGTACTTAGGAAGCATTTCCCTTATATTCATAAATCCACTAAGACCTCATAAGCCAAAAGCAAGTTTCAGGTGGCGAGTTGCGTCAATGGGGATAGCATAAAAACATGATGATCGGTCAAATAGTTTCTGAGACTATCAATTTCATAATATACACATCCTTCATTATATATCTTGTATATTTAAAACGCATCAGTAATCGAATACATTCGCGGCGCTACAACTTACCTTGAATTCTTAAAAATCCTTAATATTTACTCTAATATACTTTATTATACTTCATTATACTTCAATATACTCCATTGTACTTCAATATGTTTCATAATGACATATATATCCACAACGCATGTGTCAACACAAATTTGGGTTATAAAACAATAGAATTTCATCATAGTAAATAAAAACTGTATTTGACAGTTCAAAAAAAAAATTTGACAATTCAAAAATAAATTCCTGAAAGTTTCGTTGAAATCGGTCGAGCTGTTTCGGAGCCTACACAGAACATACACACACACTTTCTTTTTTATATATATAGATAGATTTATGTGAAATATACTTGTATAATATTTCCATTCAAAATATTAGCATAGTTTTATGATTCTCTTTGCTACATAAATGCCTGTTCGCTGTTTTAGTCATCCTTAATTATATTTTTTTCCCTCACTATGTTTCATATATTAAATTAAGCATTTTCGTTTTTTTTCTATTTTTACCTTTTTAGGTACAAATGGCCTCCGAAGACGTGGTCGGCAAACGTATACCCGCTATCAGACGCTCGAATTGGAGAAAGAATTCCACACCAACCATTATCTGACCCGCCGACGAAGAATCGAAATGGCGCACGCACTCTGCCTCACCGAACGACAGATTAAAATCTGGTTCCAAAATCGACGAATGAAGTTAAAAAAGGAAATTCAAGCCATTAAAGAACTCAACGAACAAGAGAAACAAGCGCAAGCGCAGAAAGCGGCAGCACAAGCGGCGGCGGCAGCGGCGGCTCAAGCGCAACACATAAGCGATCAAAACTAGGAAAAAACAACTACAAATTTTTCATATTACAAAAATAATTATAATAGCAATAACCCTGATGCTAATAATACTTTTAACAATAACTTTACATCTAATACAATATCAACAACTGCAAAAGGAAGCCTAACAACAACATCAACACCGTACTCCCATGCAACAGCGGCAACCATTTGCAATAGCACAGTGTCAACATCATCGTCAGCAGTGATGCCGATGTCGACGTCGTTGCATTTCTCGACGCCGTCATTGTCCGCATCTTCGTCACCCTTATATCACGCACACTCCCACACAGCAAATGCAAATGAGAATTTTATCGATAGTTTAAGCAATGCTAACATTAAGTATAATCGATTGAATTTTATTTTAAACCGAAATATTTACGAGTATTCTGCGATGAGCAGTGGGCATAAGCTTTACTGAATTTCTATACTTTAGTGCGGAGATGCTAACCTATCTTTTACATATGCATGTATGTATGTATGTGGATGGAGACCACTTAAATTGTTGCCCTCAAGTTAAATTTAATTTCTAATTTTTCATTGTTATTTACAAAAATTTCGAAATATACTATATTCTATACAAAGTCGAGGAAATCCTATATTATAAATGTTATATGCAACTCGACCAACTAATATATTTATATTTAAAAAAAATTGTATGTGTATTGTGTTTTTTATTGAAAATAGCTTGCATGTTCAATCAATGTTTGTAATTTTTCAAATTTAATTTCTGCTTGCAAACAACAAACAAACATTGCTATCGTAATTGTTGGTACAATATATTAATGCTTGTTACGTGTTCTATTGATGTGAATTTCAAATTATTATTGCCATTACTCAAGTAAGCAAAATTAAATATTTGTGTCCAATTTTGCTCTTATCTTATTTTATCGTTTATATAGTATATACCTTTTAAGGTGAAGTGAAATCGGAAATCACAATATTATGTAAGTGTTAATTGTGTCTATTAGTTATTTGGTGTTAAGAAATAGAGTTGCTTAAATACATTTTTTAGCGGAAAAATTTGTTTAAGTTTTCCTTTAGCGAATTTTCTTTAATTTGAACTATCTTAGCAGCATGCCTTAGCCATAAAAAAATTGAAAAAACTATTTTCCTTATCCTTTTAAGAAAAATGCTTCATCTATAGAAATTTAATATATATTATCTGTTTATTTGTGATCTCGTAATTTTTTTAATGTATTACGTAGCTTACTTTAGTGTTTTTGTTGCTAAGCATCAGTACAACTCCAGTAATCATAAAACCTTTGTTCTAAAATATACTACCGCAATATGCAGATCCAAGAACTCGTATATAATTTACGGTTGTTATTTCGAGTAATTTTTTTTTATTCTTCTTATTTAGAAAATATTAATAAACCTTAAATTAAAATATACATATTTGTGGGACTTCGGCAATGTAGACGCCTGCTGTTCCATGCTGAAAATTCACTAATTTTAAGTGCAATATTTTGATAGTAGGATATGGAGATTTAGTAATATGTTTAACAAAGAAAATAACTGCAAAACTAAAAAGACAAATGAAATATTAAAGGAGAAATATGTTTGTGTCATGAATATTATGCATGTTTCAAATTTTCATTATTTACTGAGCGAGTGTCAAACATAGTATTTGTGCTCGCAACTTATATTAGGGAATATTTATGTGTATGTATGTTTACTTTCACATAATTATAATAATGGAAATTTCAAAATCATTAAACAAATTCTTAGTAACGAAACAAAAGAATTTATGATGATTATTTTAACTTTAAATTTTGTAACCATCGATATTTCCCAAGTGGAAATCAAATATAATATCTTCATAAGCCGGTTTATTATCTAAACTTTTGTGTCATCAAAGCAATTATATAAATTAACTATATATTTCAATTCAAGAACTCAACCAAGAATAGAAAGCTTCGTCGCAAATGTAGAGTTATGTAATATATAAATGGAATACATTGAAAGTATACTATAGTAACTTAAAAATGTTAGTTAAGGAATTTAACTCACACAATAAATAAGTTATTTTGTAAAAAACAAATAAAATTTTAAAACCGAAGAGAGCCAACTTTTCATAACCCAACAGAATCCTTCAATAAAATGTATACGTAATTAGTGAGTAAGTACAAATAACTTTATTGAAAATAACTAAATATTTTTAAAATTAAACATAAAGTTACAAATTCATAAAAACAAAAATAATAATGTAAAACCAGATACGTAAAAAAAGATCAAATTTTCACGAAAATATTTACTATACTATACATATAATATATATGTATATACATATGTATAAATAGATTTATAAATCTAAAAGGAAGATAAGTTTATTGTGGAGTTTAATATTTATTGTATTTTATTAAATGAATAAACGTAAGTAGCAATAATTAAAGGACAAATATACGTAATTTGAAAGTAACTGATTGTGAGGCATAAAAATATGAAAATATTTATGAGAAAACTAGTTAAGAAAAACATGAATACATGAGCGCTTTGCAAATATTTATATATGTATGTATGTATTAAAAGTATCCAGCATGAGCCCATTTGAGTCCATGGCGAGCGTCTCGAACTTGCACAACTACAAAATTAATGAATTATATTCTTATTTATAGACAAATTTTTTTTTTATAAATTCACAAATTTATAAAACAAAAATTTTTTTCAAAAAGTTCTAAAATACTCATATGTAAAACCAATGCAGTTATTTGATTAAATTATACACATGAAATAACTATAAAATTAGCCGTTTAAATTATGGTTTTACGAAATTACTTGTGATCTCAAATTAAGCATTCAGACCCAGTAAAAAATAAACATTAATTATATGGCTGCGAGCCAAAAAAAAGAAATATATATTTGTAAACGGCTCGAATAAAATGCGCTGTATGAGAGGTACACGTAATTTATACAAATAGTTAAATGTGGAGAAAGCTCCTTAAAACAATAAAACTTCGTATATACTACATTTTAAAAAATACATGTTTGGAACTAATCAAACAATTAAAATACATAAATAAAAATAATAAATATTGCAATTAACATGATTACGATTACTACATTTATATTTATCGATTACTGTATTATTAAAATAAACAAACATACAAAACTTAAAAAAATATTAAAACTCAAAGTAAATAAATGCCGAAAGTTGTGTGGATAGTTTAATTTTTATGTACTATAAGTTGTAAATTAAAAATACAATAACTAAATACCATAAACGTAATTTAATGAAATGATGAGGAATAAAATGAATGGTAAATTTGAGAAATTAAAGATACTTTCTTTTTATTATTAATATCCACAGGATCACAGTGCAGGAATAATTACCAGCATGTAAGTAGATAAATCTACAATACTTTAGATTTGCGCTTCGCAGCGATTGGCTCATAGCACGCATTAAAATTACAACCATATTTAATTTATAATTTTTGATTCCCTGAACAGACTTATTTACAAAACAGTTAAAGTCGTTCAATAGCAATTGTTTATAATTTTAATTAATTTTTTTTAAATTGATAGATTCATTCCTTTAATTTAAAAAAACAAACTTCTGAAAAAATAATAGAAATCATCTCAGAGTTTTTAGTTGTGAATTTCGCTTCATTTGATTAGACTCGTAAAGTGCAGCTAAAAAGCTACAGCTACTTTAAGGAAACAGAACGTTTAAATATAACTAATTTTAACCACAAACGAATTTTAAGATTCTCCTATAAGTGTCTTGCAAAAAAAATGCGGTAAGTCTGGGATGAGATTAAGACCAGCCGTTTAATGATGATGCAAATCATTATACTCGGTTTATGGGGGCTAAAGAAATATATGAATCGATTTCTACCCTTTTTGGCATGAGTAAGATGTTAAGGGTAATGACTTTACTGAGATTCGTTAAGACATCTCTCCGATTTCGCCTATATTTGAATGAATTTGGTATTTGTTATGTTGATAGCGTTCAATATACTTAAGTCATCTACTATAAAATCTAATAAATATGTGGTATTCAGGATGGACTTACAAAGGAAATATGCGTAGTTTTTATTTGATTTTACCCGAATACAAATCTACCTTTAGAGGTAAATTTATTGGAGTTTAACTTTTCTAAATAATGATGTTTCATTAAATCTTACTACGCTGGACTTCATTCATCTGTCAATTTCGCGATACTTTGTTAATTATCAGTACCCAATCATACTAGAAATAGCATGATATCTCACTAATTTCTAAATAACTTCTGTAAATTTACCAGATATACAGCGTTGTCGATTTCAAAAAGTGTTGGGAACTTTTGGTCAGTGCATATTAAATGGTTCTACATAAATAAATATCCAATACGAATTGATTGGTTAGGTCACAAATTTTATATTTTTCGTATTATTCTCTTAAAAGTTAGAGAGCTTCTAGAATTTTGACATCAATACATTGATTTGTTTTTTGTTTTTTAAAGAAAATGATTAGACATTAAAAGCAACAACGGAAAGAGTTTTAGAAATTTTAATTCTGAAATCATTCTGTTATCACTCTTCGCACCGATAATATCGTACCGTGTTGCCTTCAATTTTTTTTTTAGAAAATCTCAAAACTCAAAGGGGAGAAAGATAGAATTGGAACTAAAATTTTTGAAATTATTTTATAGGAGTATAAATAGCAGGAAATTTCAACAATAAAGTAAGGCAGAATAACAATCCCTAGCATATAAAAACATTGTTGACATTTCGATTGTAATTCTATGTGCTCTGTTTGGTTTGGACACAATTAGACAAGTTTCATATCGCTTTCAACTCCCACTCATGACTTCTATAGGATCCCGGGAAAAATTGTTATGCTTATTTTTTAATTTCATAAAATTTATAACAAAAAATAATACATTTATTTTTTGTTTAATTCATCTTTAACAAATAACATTCGCATTTAAGAGTAGATGGATCAAGCTGGAAGATCTTGAACGACCAGGACTTCTGTATATAATATATGAAAATAATCCTAAACATGAAAAAGGTTCAACAAACTTTTAAATTAAACGCATAATTTTGGTCATTAATATGGCAGAAAAATTTCCACAGTCGTTGATTTTTCCAACATTATCCCTTAACTCATCATCAATTTTCTGCATTGATGTATTTAGCAGCATAGAAAATATTACTTGATTGCATATTTCATAGTGACGCACACAAATAAAAATGATTACTATTTATTAATTTACCTCGAATGCAACCGCATGGAAAATTTATCATTCTGTGTATATATTCATAATTTTTTTAATAGCGTTTCAAGCAATACTGACTGCCCTAATACGCTAATAACGTGCAACTGTTATACGTAAAAACTAATTATATTATTGCTATCTCCCGCTAGGTGACGCAACATTACACCACAGAATGGTACCAGAGAACATACAAGCTAAAGCAAATGCAAAAAATAGGTAAATATGGTAAAAGACGGAGACTTAAATAAATAAATAAAATTTTAACTGATAATAGATTTGCTCACAAGTACCGATAGGTTTGTAACACCAACAATTAAACAAGTTAGATAGGATGTTGGTGTCAAGTTACTATTTATGGTACAAACGGAAACGTTTTTAAATTTGCAACAAATTGCTAGAACCCAGTAGCGACAGGTGTTGTTTAAAATCAAAAGATATGCAAAGTGGGCGTTGTCTTATCTTCTAA